AACTCGACGATGCTCCGGCACCAACGACTGCGGTAACTGGCACTGTTCACGACATTCCTGATGATGAAGTAGCTGGGTTCGCCACGGCAGTTGCAGGTGAACAGGGTAATTCCACTGAGGAGTCCGCAGCTGGCCAGGAGCTCCTGAAATGGCAAACCAGGAACTTCGTCATGAGCTGTCTGAGTGAACTGTTATCGACAGTCAGCAAACAATTATTGCCCGATCGGACCATTCCTGCCGAAACCGCGTTGCAAGATAAAGTGGGAGACATTATTCGCATGGCATTCTCTGCCTCTACTGCCAACGTTATCGAACTCCGTGTTTGGGGACTGAAAATCATTGACCAGGTCCTGAAGGTTAGTGCATCCGTCTCGCGTTAAGGAATAAAGGTTACTGAAAAGTTAAACAAATGTAGATGTTTGGCAAAACGCCGGACCCCGACTTCGCAGAAGCCTCGCTGCTTGAACAATATCAGGCCCAGATAAGTTCTGCGCTAACCCCTGCCTTTGCTGTTGACTCGTCACCCGAGCTGGCTTCGGAGGCTATCAATGTCTGCGCAACCTTTGTTGGGACAGGGATCGTTACAAACGTGGATCGAATGGGTCGCATTTTCAAGCTGCTTGTTGTTGGCCTGGAAAATTTTGCGAGTATGTGCACCGGATCCTAGCCCAGTACTTTACTAATCTCTTTCTGCTAGACAAGCCAGATACGACCGAGATTGGCGATCTCAAAGGCCTCAACTCAAATGCACGTGTGATGGTGAAACTTGCTTTATTCTCCGCATGGGCTAGACTACAAATCGCCAGCAACGACCAGACATACTTGGCTGAGATTGTACAACCGTACACTGCAATGCTTACCCCCCTTTGGCTCTCGTCTCTGCAAGAATTTGCACGTCTCAGATTCGAGCCTGAAATATCCAGCACTGTCGGAACTGTTAGCCTCTCTGATAATCTGGATGATGTGTATGCGGCACTGAATCGGGAAACTTTGTTGAAGGTAGGGCTTGCAAATACCCATCCAAAGTATATCGCTGACTCAGGTCCATAGTTTTATCAAGATTCCTGGCTCAACCTGGTCGACGCCATCGCTAGCCTTGTCGAAAAAGATAGTGAATTCGTCTTTGACGCCCTTGATGGGAAATTCCAAACGTCAAAACCAGATGAAACCGCTATCGATAAGCCTCAAGTCAACGGTGAAAAGAAGGAAAAAGGGGCTAACATCAACTATCGTGATGAACCAGTCGCATTCTTTTTTGTTCTCTTTGGCCTCACTTTTGAGGCCCTGGTTGACCAAACCCATTCGCAATCGCATCGTAAGCTGGAGATATTACAGGCCCTACAAAAGATACTGCATCCTGCAGTTGCTGGAAACGCCGTATACCAAGAGGCAGTATTTTCCGAAACCATGGAGATCCTGGACCGGCTGGTGATGACTGAGGGCGCCAATATACAGACCGTCATTGTCCAAACAGCCCGAGATCTGTCCCTCCACCATCAGTCTGCGTCAAATGACCAATCTCGGACCGAGAATCTCTCAGACGACATTGAACAGCTATTCCAGCTCACTAGAAACATCATCCTTGTCCTAGCGGGACTCCTTCCAAACCTGGGTGAATCCTCGCCCAGTTCCCGATATAGAGTCTCCGATGACTCCGCATCGCTTATCCGCTTATCCCTCTCCTCCCTTGTCGACGTCACGTCCGTCTTCCCCTCAATAATCCGCGCAGATCTCCACGCCTGCATTCTGCACATCTTCACCACCATCCTGGCCACGGGCATGTGCCAGGCGGAAGTCGTCCCACAAGCCCTCCCAATATTCCGCCGCTTCATCCAAGGAATAACCCGCCCCGCACCCCCCACGGAGTCCGAATCATCCCCACCATCCCCCTCCCCAAGCACCCCCTCACTCGACGACCTCACAACAACCTCCCGCCAAATCCGCGGCTGCATCTCCCGCCTCCTCTCAATCCTCACAATCGCCCAAAGACGAGAATCCGAAACCTCCCTCCCCTGCGCCAAAAACACCCTCTTCGCCCTAACCATCCTCCTAACAACAAGCAGCCACGTAATCCCCCCGCAAGACCCCCTACTCCCCCGCGTCCTCGACGAATTCCTCGACTGCCTCCAAGACCTCGGCCTCGCCAACGTCGCCGCGGGCTGCATCCGCTCCATCCTCCTCACACCAACAGCACCCAGATCACCCACCGACGACGCCATCGCCCGCCACTTATTCCCGCGCCTCCTCGCCTTCGTCACAAACAAACCCCTAACCGCCACCGACAACGCCACCCCCCCCTTAGATCCAGAAAATATAAAGGGAACCATCACCCTCTCGCTCGTCTCATCAATTGGCTCCGGCGCCGTCGCGGCCCGCGCGATCCCCACTGCCATCTCGCTGATGATCCCCGCGCTGCTGTGCAGGGCGCGGAATGAGGGGGAAGGAGTGTACAAGGAGATCGCGGCAAGGTTGTTGGAGTTGGCGAAGATTGATGCGGGGTGTTTTAGGGGGGTGTTGGGTGGGATGGATGGGGAGCAGAGGGGGTTTACGGAGGAGATTTTGAGGAGGGGGGGGGTTGGAGGTGGGAAGGATGGTGGTGGCGGTGGCAGTGGGGATGGGGAGGTGGAGGTGGAGGAGAGGAATGTGCCGAGTATTGCGTTGAGGATGGATTTTTGATTTCTCATGGGGTTTCTTTTTTCCTTATATGGGGGTGGTTTGATTGCGGGGGGAGGGGTGGAGGCAGTTTGTGTGTGTCTTGGTGGTTTTTTTTATGTGGTAATTTAATTACAATCTGGTTGATTGGATTGGGGTTGATTATTTTTGTTTTGAGCATAGATGGATTTCTGACGTTCTCAGGACGGTAGTTAGTTGATCTGTTTTATATATATTTAGAGTTTTCTTTCGCATCTATGATGTCTTTGGTATTTATTCCGGGTGCTTTTGCAGATAGTTATATATATATCTGCTGGCCAATATTTACTCGTATACCCCTGAGGCAATCGGATAATGATACTTGTTTTTTTTTCCACAATGTACCGTCTATAATTTCTGTAGGGAGGGTATATAGTTTCCAAAAGAAGGATCATATCAAGAAAAAGAAAAAGAAATAACGGGCGAAAGACGGCGTCTCTCGTCGACAAAATAGAAGAAAAAAATACAAAAATGGAAATCTTCTCTGAAAGAACGTACAAATCCCACGATGTGGAAAGAATGGGGAATTAAATAAATAGTGCCTGGTAGATATCAGGATTTAAGTCGCCACGAATCGGTTCAATCGAACAGCTATCTATCTCATCCCAGTGGCTCAGTAACACTCGACTCCGGACGGGCATTGTTTAATGCAGGATCCAGACCAAACTCTGATGACGATGGTGGCGGAGCGGCTTTGGCCTCGGCCGCTGCGCCCTTGGCCTGTTCCTTTTCGTGGTGTTTATAGGAGGAGTAGCGGAGGGCGAGGATGATCATGCCTGATGAGAGTTGAAAATGGAACACGTTAGCGAAAATGCTCAAGAAGGGGGGGAAGTAAAGTGGGAAGAGAGACAGTGCAAATGCAAACAAAATACTGACCCGCACTCGTCGCGATAGCCAACGCCGCCCTCCTCGTCAAAATCCACCTGAGTCCCTCCACCTCGCTCTTCCCGTCACTATTCAGCGAGACAGTAATCTGATAATTGAGCTCTTGGATGGCAGTATCCAGTGACCGCTGCAACTCCCTCGTCGATATCTTCTGGTCATTAAACATCTCCTTGAGATCATCCTTCAACCCAGCCAGCTCCTGCGTCATGCGCTGTGTCAAGATATCCACTTCATGCTGCAATTGTGCGCGCTGGGTTCGTTGGGATTGTATCTCCGCATTCCTTGATGCTTGCAGGGAGTTGCGGAGTTCGGAACAGGCGGCTTGGAAGAGGTATGTCTCGTTCTCGACGTCCGATTTGGAGACTAGACCTCCGCGGGCTATGTCGAGATTATCGGCTAACAGGCCGCGGATGGCCTTCATTATGGAGACGGATTGTTCCTCTGTAAACCCGGATCGACCGAGATCCTTCACTAAGCTGTACGTATCGAAGTGGTGAACATATAGCGGCGGGGAGAGGTGGGGTGGTTTACGGTTCTCGGAATCCCCTGTTGTGCTGGACTGCGAGATGTTGCCATCGGCCGGGGTGAGGGAATTGGCAGGACCTGGCATTTGAAAAGCATGGCCCTGAATGGTACCCTGCAACGGATCCGTATTCTGGCCAGCACCGGTTGCAGATTGGGGGTTGGCAGGTATATCGGATTGCGCTGACTCACGCCCCGCAGTTCCTTGCTCAGAGGGCAATTCAGCGGATATATTCGTTGACGACGCGGAGACAGAAGACTGACTCTTCTCCGCTTCTGCCTGTATCTTTTTCCCATACTCCTTCACGTCCTGCTGCCCGGACTTATCCGCCTTCTTTCCTGTCGGCTCTTGGTCCGTCTTTGGTCCGGCTTCGGCTGATGGGGCGTCTTTCGGCCTTGGGGGAGGAGGCAATCGTGGTTCCGCAGCTTGTCCATAGCGTTGATGATAGGTCTCTGCCTCGCGACGGTGGCTGGTGTGGAATGCGGCGTGTGAGCTGGTGCTTTGCGAGTGGTGTTGTTGGGGTGGTGGGGGAAATCGTATCGAGCGATAAGTTGTTGGTTCGCAGGCCCGTACGGATCGGAGGAGATTGGGGTATAGGAACGGGAGTCTTGGAGCGGCCATGGCAGCTCGCAGAGTCAGTGGGCGGAGTAAAGGGTGTCTGTGAGGAAGAAGAGAATGGGTGTAATAAGTTGCAGATTGTGAACGTCGTCGGCGGACACAAGGAAGCTTAGTCACCATTTTTGCTCGACTGCCGAACAAAACGGAGTAATCCGCTCTTTTCCCACCCCCATCAACGCCAAAATTACGTTTTTTCACCTCCAAGTTCGTCTTTTTTTGGTAACTGCATGAGGATAATTTAGCGGAGTCGTGCAAAAAGCGGCAAAAAAAGAAAAAAAGCAAACGACACAGGCAGGATTCGAACCTACGACCCCTAAGGGATGAGATATTCTTAAAGTGGTCCCTCCTTGGAGGGGAGGGACGGCACCGTTCAAGTCTCACGTATTAACCACTCTACCACTGTGCCGTTGTTGCGGAGTGCCGAGATCGGACGAAATATGAGCAAAACTCGGACGAAACAGCCCCCAAAGATCCCTTTCTTCCTCCACCAATCTAGCCTGGATGCCCATTCACCGACGAAAGGCGAAATACCACTCGTATTCCACGGCGGAAACCCCCTCCTCAAATACGATTAAACACTGGAGGAGTGGTTTGTGTTGCCAGGCGTCCGTCAGTCGTTCTCAGGGGTTGGTCAATATGTTGTTCCTCTCCGGGATGACCAGTGTCCGCAGTCGAATGAAATTGCACGTTCGCTGCCCATGGCCTTTCCAAATAATGGGTAATGCGAAAAATCTCTTTTCAGTGCACGAATATTCCTTGCGTGCTGTTGAATCCCAATCTGGGGTTTCTGTGACTGGGCGACGTATGACCTTCATTCAGGGTTAGTTTCAATTCTTTGCGCAGCTGGAGGGTATCTATATGATGATAAGACACTTAACACTATCACTGCTGTCTTCGTCATTCTCAGGCAATGTGGAAGGTAGTGGGTGGATTCTCCCTGAAACATTTCGCTTTTTGGGAGCAGGCTAGCTCGATGTAGGAAGTCCAGGGATTTTGGCGGCATTGGTGTTTGCAGAAGTGCATTTATCTGCCCACAACTGTGGACAGCTGTTCCGCTTATGTCCAAATTCTCAGCAGTGTAAGCACTGTATCCCCTGTAGGCAATTAGACGCAATCTGTCCTAGCTGCCAGCATGAGTAGCAGCCTCGAGTTGGACAGTATTCTGCTAGAGGATTGCTCTTGTTGCAGTTCTCGCACAGAGAAGAAAAGGAGGGAAAAAAAGGAAACCCTGGGAGATTGCCAATTCATCAGCCATCAGCATGTGGAGGATATTCAGGATTTTGATGCAGCGAACGCGCTGAAATGTTGCAATGGCCCTGATATTGACGGTGGATGCGGGAAACAGTGGATGAGAATGGTGGTTGTTAAGAAGTCTGCGAAGAAAAAGGAAGAAAGGATTATCTGTTGCCAGTTGAAAAAATAAAGAAAAGATTTGTGCGTTTTACCCCTGAGCTAGGGCAACGAGGGATGTGTTATTCGACATAAATAGATTGTGTAGTTATATACAGAAAACAGGCCCTCACCAAAAAGCCACTTTGCCTTGGTTACCGTTTCTACCTCCTGAAAACAACGTCAAGCAGCCGTTGTAATCGGGGAAATACATGCTGCGAAAACAACTATCCGCCCCATAATCACGAGATATAGGATAGGTATCAGAGCGAAAGAAGACTGAAAGGCAGCCACTAGGAAACCCCAGGTGGATGCAACCTAGGCGAGAACATGAGAACTATTTTTAAAGACCTGTCTTTTTTAGGGAGCGGCAGAAGTAGCGTAATGATGCTACTAAATTGATACATGTAATGCGTAATAAAGAACGACAATAGTTCAAGGAACGCCAGGCTGGTGAGCCATAACAACTTGGGAAAAGGGGGGGAAATATCAACAACTAGAAGTTGGTATGTTCAATCGTATTGTGCTTAAATCCGGGTATATATTATAACTACCTAATGCCATTCCCACAAAGTTAAGACCGCCAAACAAGGGGTTTAACCAAGCAGCCCAAACAGTAGCTGGGTCTGCTTCCAGTACTCTTGACTCCTCTTGCGAAGTGCTTCCACAATGTCCTCATCGGACTCGATGTCCTTCTTGATAAATTCGATGATAGGCCGTAGATCGTTCTCCTCGACACCGGCGACTTGGCGGACGGTCAGCGCGTCGTCTAGATACAGGACGTCAAAGAGAAGTTGGATCTTGCGATCCCTGATAACGTCAGGCGCAGGTTCTACGGGAGCGGGCTCGCTTGGCTCTTTCGCGGTATCGTCATCATTATCGGCTGTTGAGTCCTCGGGCGAGTCCTCCACTTGGGACGTTTCGTGCTTTGGAGGTGGTTCCGGGCCTTCAAGACCAGACTGTATGCATGATGAGATTGTTTTTCTGAGCTTGACTTTCAGCGTATCCACAGCTGAAGCATTCCAAAGGTCGGGGCCCTGCTGTTCCATTGCCGTGACCAATTTCTGTAGTAATCTGAATACCGCTGGGGATGGTTGGATTGGAAGTTGAGGATCGCCTTCCCACAGACTTCGGCCGGCGCAGCCGCCTCCACGTTTCCCAATAGTCCGGGTCAGGTTCGATGCCGGGATTGCCGAATTAATTTCAGCAGCGAGGATATCATGCAGTTTCGGCACCAGATCGTCGGCGAATAGGTGGTCGCCAGTTGAGAGACCCCGGGGGAGACTCCCTCGAATCTCCCGGATAACCCGTAGCAGGAAAGCTGCCTGTCGTCCACGGTGCAGACCGGTCATGTTGGCCAAAGCACCGTGTAAGGAGGTCTGGAGCGCAGAGAAGGTCTTTTCCAGTGTGGTCCCGTATTCCTTCTGCAGAAGATTTGGGTCATCTTGTTTCAAAGTCCCCACGGCATTTTCCAAAACATCCTCATCCTCGTCATCTTCGATCACATCTTCCCATCTTATTCCTTGAAGCTCATCAATCATGTCCTTGCAGTTCTCGGCACTCGAGAGCCAAGTGTGGTAGGATGCTGATATTTGCAGTACATTGCTATCCTTCCCCAGAGTCCTGTTAATAATCTCCTGTTTGAAGGGCGTTGCGCCATCGGAAAAATCTAGGAAGGTAACATCGGCATCCCAAAGGGAGGACGCGGAAACATGTTCCTCCGCATCACTCCAGCTGGTGATTGTCGATGAAATTTCAAGACCTAACAAAGTGAGACCCTTCGCCTGTGTACGAAGAGTAGAAACAAGTTGTCTGTTGATAGTATTGCGGATGCCCTCGAGTATATCTAGTGAAGAGTGACACGGTGTCGAGCTTTGAACTGGCAGCCAAATTTCCAATAGATTTTTGCGGAGAAGTAAAATATCCTTGAAGTTGTGACCCTGTTGTAGGTTTTTGCTCATTCCGTCGGTCAACTGCTCAAACGCATTTCTGGACCAGCCCTTTATCGTTTTTGCAGTCTCCGCTTTTGATAGATCCAACTGTTTAACCCACGGGGTGAAGTTTTTGATATCATTGGCAACCCATCGTTTGAATATATCGGTTCCTAGCGCATCTAAATTGCGTACCTCGGGATCGTCGAGAATAGGGTGCGTGGTCAATTTCCCAAGAGCATCCGAAAGGCTGCCTGACAGCAAATCTGACGTTCGTTTCAAAGTATGTATAAAGAGATTTATGCTCTGTTCTACATTTGCGAAAGTCGGATCTTCTTTTTGAAGCAGCGATTCAATGGCTTCCAAGCGGACCTGATGAAAGTGCCGTAATACATCATTAGAAGAGGAACTCGTCGCCAGACAATATGCCGACATGGTCTGGACCATGTCTTGGGTTGTACTGGCGGGGGATGACAGTCTCCGGTCAATCCGTTTGAGTAGCGAACGCCGGAGGGAAGCCAGCTGACTCCGGAGGTTATCAAGGAACACAGGCGCACGGTTACTCTGCGACAGGGTTTTGTGCAGAAGTCGAGATATGACGAGGAGCTTCGCGACGAGGAGGTTCGAGCCATGCTTTCGAAATAGTCTGTAGCCAGTAGTTGTGCAGTTATGGAGGAGTGCGAGCTGGGCGGCGATGGCCCGATCATCAGCGCCTGCGGCATGTTAGCTATCGGGGCGGTATAGACCACATAAACAGCGCTGGTGTATGACCTTTATCGTGAATACCGTGCTCCGCTTTCTTCTCTATCAACCGGGGGTTGCATTGCCTGCTGATGTTGGATAGGTGTGTTTCCACCTCCTGGATCTCATCGTTCATCCCAACAATGGTCTGGGCAGTGTCAAGGAGGTCACGATATCTCACTCTACATGAATCCCAAACAGTTAGCAAATCAGATCCAACAATATTCAAGCCATCTATCTTACCCGACAAGAGAGCGCAGCTTCTCCCTGTTGCTGGTGATGTCGCGCCGGAGCTCCTGTTCGACCCTGCGCACAGTGGGAATTGGGTGTTGGAACGCCTCCTGCCATGACTTCAGGCTCTGCGCATCCGGGACATCGGCGGCCATGGTGTCAGCACCAATGCGCGGGAATGTTTGGGATAGTTTATGACGCATGGAAGCTTGTTGACTCGGATGTTGGCAACATCGCCGCGTGGTCCGTGCGCGGAACTTTGTCGACGATGACTCCTCCCCGCCATTTTTATTTTATATAGAAACACCACACGCTGCTCACTCGGGAAGATTTCCAAACTGCTGGACTTTACGATATTCTAAGCTCGCAGTATCACTCTGCTAAAACGGTTCCGAAGAAAGGGCACGAGAATGGCCTCAGCCCCGCCGTATGCGGCAGACACAGAGGGGGGTGATGAGCCCGTCGAGATCGTCACCAAAGAGCTTCCCTTCCCCCCGCTCACCAAGGCGCATATTCTGCACTGCTCATATCACTACTGGCATCCTATGTATGCTATCTTCTATCCCATCTGAATTTACATATACTAACCTAGTACCTAGCTACCGCTCCATAACCCCCAAGGCCCGCCTCATCCCCCTAACAGATGCCTTCCTCGACTACCTCCGCGCAGATGGCATAGTCCTCCCCCCTCACAAGACCATCTCGGATGATGACAGCGGCATCTACTCCATATCCGACGACGAAGATGACGAGGACGAAGACCCGTCCGCGCTGTGGCCCGAAATACACTCCCAGGTCAAAGCAACGATAGAAGAACTAGGCGGAAAAGTAACTCCAAAGCTAAACTGGAGCGCGCCAAAAGATGCAACCTGGATATCCGCGACGAACGATATGGAATGCAGATCGCCTAATGATATATACATACTGCTGAAGAGCAGTGACTTTGTGACTCATGATCTAGAACATGCCTTTGACGGGTGTGTTTCGGACGCAAAAGCGCGGGAAATTATACAGACACAACAGCTTGGCCGGGAGGATCCCTCGCAGCCCAAATCCTCCGAAGATGAAGCACCACCCAAAATCCCCTACCATCTCGTCCTCCGCAAATACATAA